TGGATAAGCTAATCTGTCTCTCTGATGCCTTGTACCAGTTTTGCAAAATTTACAATGAATTGCTGAAAATTTTAACAAGGGGGAGTCTTTGGATAGGCTGGAATTATTTTCTTTGGGACAGAAGAGGATAAGGGGAGGTCTGATTGAGGTGTATTTCCTTATGAAATGCCAGGATAAAGTGGATAGGAAATTGTCTCAGCAGAGAAGGACCATCTGGTTCATCAATGTCCGTCAGAGAAGGAAATCTGCCGGCCTCCACGTGACTCCAGACCCACAGCAATGTGATTGACTCTTAACTTCCCTCTGAAGTGGTCTTTCGAGGCCAGTGAAGGCAAGAAATAAATGCTGGCCTTGCCAGTGAAGCCCACGTCTTACACTGGAATGAAGAGAACGAATGACCACTAACACAGAGATGGATAGAGATCCAATGTTACTGGCAGGAAGATTAGAAAGGAACTGACAAAGAACTTTTTTCACCCAGAGGATGGTGAGGGTCCAGCACTTGCTGCCTGAAAGAGTAGTTGAGGCAAAAAATCTTCATTTTAAAAAAAAAACAAATCCTCTGAAGTGGGGAATTTGCTAAAATTTATAGGGCTGCTTACCAAAATGGGATTAGGCGTGATAGCTCTTTCTCAGTTATTAATGGGCCAAATGGCCCCTCTCAGTTCTGCACATTTTCTCTACTTTTAAATAAATCCATTCCCACACTTGTGCTTTTTTTCTTATAGGAAACAGCCTGAATTCCTCTAAACAGGCTTTACTCTCTATATAAATAATGTTATTCCTTATAAAATGTCATTGTTTCTGTATTTCTACAATTCAAGGTTATTCTTCCTACCACAGTCCCATGACTTTTCTAGGAATTTAGGAAATAGGAGCAGGAGTAGGCCATTCAGTCCATCGGATTACCTGGATCTTAACTGCTCTTTTACCTCCATGCCATTGTTCTGTGCTAACCCCATTCTGTATAGCTTGGCTGTGCAGAGCTCTGCATTATTTTATCATCCTAATTTTCACTGAATTCTGTACTCAAGGGGTTATTGTTGAAACAGATTGTTCAGCAGAATCTTGAATTGTTGTAGGGACTGGGTTCAGACACAAACGTGGGGGAGATTGAACACCTTAGACACTGGGGAGGGAATTATGTAGAAATTATAGCATGGGACCAGGTTGTTTTGCTTGAAAAGCCCATGCTGGTAGTTAGCCTCACTCAACCGTAGACTATACCTCATAAACTTACCCTATTCAGGCATCCTTTCATTCCCTCTTTCCTTCATCCATGACTATTCTTAGATGTTACCATGGACACGTGGATAGATTATGGCTAGGCAAGGATATTAACGGCTTACAAAGCCTTCTCTAACTGCTGAAGACCATTTCATGTAGATACCCCCACAATGCTATCGTAGAAGGAGTTCCAGGTTTTTAACCCAGTGATACTGAAGGAACGGTGGTATACTTCCAAGTCAGGATGGTGAGTGGCTTGGAGGGGAACTTGCGGGTGGCGGTGTTCCTATATATTTGCTGCCCCTGCCCTTCTGGGGGTGGAGAAGGTTCGATCTAAGGGCCTTGATGAACATATGCAGTGCACCTTGTAGATGGTACATACTGCTTGAGGGTGTGAATATTTGTGGCAATTAATTGGGCAGCTTTGTCTTGGGTAGTGCCAAGGTCTTCAGTGTTGTTGGAGCTGCACCCATCCAGGACAATGGGAAGTATTCCACCGCACTCCTGAGTTACGCCTTGTAGGCTAGGCTTTGAGTTGTCAGGAGATGAGTTACTCGCTACAGGATTCCTAGCCTCTGACCTGCCTTGCAGCCGGAGTAGCTAGACCAATTCCGTTTTGGGTTAATGTAAGCCCCAAGATGTTGATAGTGGGGGATTCAACATTGAATTCGACCATTTGAATGTTGAGGAAAGGTGGTTAAATTTTCTCTTATTGAAGATGATGATCGTTGCCTGGTAATTGTGTGGCACTCAGTGTGACTTGGCACTGGCCAGCCCAAACCTGGGATATTGTCCAGATCTTCATAAAATAGTTTTGCTATCCAATGCCAAGCTATTTGTATAGTTCTGCTTCATTCACTGACTTTGCTGCTTTTCACAACTTCACCACCCTTTGTTTAAAAAATAAATTCAAATAATTTTTCCTGCTCTCTGCTCTAAACCTCTTGCATCTGATTCACTTTTCATTCTAAGTCCCGCAATCACTGTGGAATGGTTTGGTTCTGTCCATTGTGTGCTGTCCCTCCATAGTATTAAGCATTTCCAAAATATCTCATAATCTCTCTTCTAGCAAAATAAAGCCTGTAGGAATGGCTCAGGTGCAGAATGTTGACAGGAGCAGAGGAGAACATTTGGCTCCTCAAGGTTGCAGTGTTCAATAAGATCATGGTTGATCTAATTGTGCTCCCGTCTCCACTTTCCTCTCTGCCCCATAGCCTTTATCTCTGGTGTATATTAAAAATCTAACTCTGCCTTGGATAAATTTAAAGAACCAGCCTCTACTGCCTTTTGAGGAAGAGAATTCCATACTCAACTGTCCCTCTGAGAGCAAATGTTCCTTTCAAAGGGAGTCCTCTTATTTTTGAACTATATTTAACAGGAAGGTGCAAACAGTGGCATAGTGGCAATGTGACTGGACTCGGGGTTCAAATGGTTGCAGATCCTGTCAGGCCTTCTGGTGGGTTTTAATACAATGAGTTAAATCTGAAATTGAAAGCTGGTTTCATTATGGTGGCTATTACAGCAAATGTGTGGTTTTGGACGGCACGGTGGCTCAGTGGTGAGCACTGCTGCCTCAGCGCTAGGGATCCAGGTTCAATTCCAGCCTTAGGGCATTGTCTGTGTGGATTTTGCACATTCTCCCTGTATCTGCGTAGGTTTCCTCCCACAGTCCAAAGTTGTGCAGGTTATGTGGATCAGCCATGCTAAATTGCCCCATAGTGTCCTGGGATGTGCAGGCTAGGTGGATTAGCCAAGGTAAATGCAGGATAGAATGGGTCTGAATTGGTGCAGATTCAATGGACCAGAAGGCCTGTTTCGGCACTTTAGGGATTCTATGACCATGACAGCCATTCCTGTAGAAACCCTCCTGGTTCACTAATGTCCCAAAGGGAAGGAAATCTGTCCTTATCTGGTCTGATTTACATGTGACTCCAGACCCATGACATGCAGGTGAGTTGCTTTGATGGCTTGCTTTGCGATGTGAAGGTGCCACCTTTCCGACCTCTCTTCCCCCTCCAGTGGTGTAGTGACCCCCAGGTTAAACTCGCCATCAATCGTCTCTACTTCTAACAAGGGAGCAGTCCTCTGGGCCTAAGGCAATTTTACCTTTCATTGTGATTGAATCTTAACTCACCCCTGAAATGGCCCAGCAAGTCACTCAGTTCAAATCATTTAGGGGAAGGGTTACAAACACTGGCCTTTCCAGCGAAGCCTACATCCCATGAAACAATAAATATTAGGAAAAAAAAAGGAGCTGTATAGCTGAGACAACAAGGTGCAGAGCTGGATGAACACAGCAGGCCAAGCAGCATGATAGGAGCAGAAAAGCTGACGTTTCGGGCCTAGACCCTTCTTCAGAAATGGGGGAGGGGAAGGGGGTTCTGAACTAAATAGGGAGAGAGGGGGAGGCGGATAGAAGATGGATAGAGGAGAAGATAGGTGGAGGAGAGACAGACAGGTCGAAGAGGTGGGGATGGAGCCAGTAAAGGTGAGTGTAGGTGGGGAGTTAGGGAGGGAATAGGTCAGTCCAGGGAGGACGGACAGGTCAAGGGGGC